CCTACTCGGGTATTCTTCACCTTCCCGCATGCGGTCACATGCTTGTAAGGGAGGCCAAAGTTGATTCAGCAGCGGTATCACCTTTATGGCAATCCTCATGACGTTGGTTCAGCTGTCCCTGCTTTGTTTGTACTGACATCTTTCCTTCGACTGTCTATGGTCCTACATACACACCCTGCCAAGCTTGTTTACTGGGGGCTTGGCTGCCTTTTAAGTGATTGGCTCATGTTCCCAACTACCTGAGAAGAGAGCTGACAAGTGATAAAGTCTTGCCATAGCAAATTATAATGCCAAGTAATTACAGACAATTTAGTGGAGAAGACGTTCGACAATTTATAAGATACTCTATGAGTCATGCGGAAATTTTTCAGAATTAACACCCTAAACAGAGCACCTGGTTTGGTCAACGGTATAGAGAAGGATCCCAGTTAACTGTCTGTAGACTGTGGGTCGTGTCATATGGGGTTTAATCTTGGAATGCATTTGCAGGCCGTTGCAGAAATGACACTGCCGACAACGATTACTTCCTACGACCTAACACCTTAACGCAAAGTCCGTTATTTTATGAAATTTGCTTTTTGTTTATTGTTTAATTACTACTCTCATTTCCGTTGCCGTACAATAGCGTATGATAAGACTTTCACATAGATACGGGCAATTTCTGTGTTTTCTTTCATTTTGTCAGCTTACTGTCTAGCTTGAGGCCCCACCCATAAAACTCCCTCTACCATAACACTCGTATGGCACGATCCACGGTCTACTGACAGTTAAGAGGGGTTTTTCTCTATACCGTTGCCCTTGGTTTGTCTTAAACCTTATTTTGCGCTCGTAGGCCATGTGTGCGGGCACATTAAAGGTCGACGACTTCCGAAACTGTTCTGTAAACTTAAGGAGCTAGGTGCCTCCAAGACATCTTTCTTAACAATAAAAGGGAGTTGTTCTTGAAACTTCGAGAAACCTGGGCTGCACTTTCTCAACCATACAGTTCAGTTCATAATGGGAGATTGAGGGAGGATCTTATCCATGACCCTAAGGACAGCGGTATGCGGAGGGGCAGTTAGGATACACCTGACCATAAGTTGTTACCGTAATCTCCCCTTAGCACTCGAGTTAGGTTGCGTGCGGACCATTAGTAAGACATAGGAGAACCCAGAGGGAGGGACCTCACACGTCCACTAGGGGTGATGTTGCTCTTACTGCGCCGAGGTAATGTGTGGACGGCCGTAGACATGCCTAAAAATTAAACATTCCCATCATGTGGAAAGGACGGACACCTTGAGAAGGGAGTCGAGTACTTGGACATGAACTTCTCTCGTCCGGCGTTTCCGATTCAGTCTTGAGCGACAGCGACAGATAAGGATAGGGGATAGGATGAGTGCTGCGTTTCTATTGTGAAGTTACTATGTCACCACATAAACATATTACAGTCACTAGTTCCTGCATTCATCATAGATGCTCACTTCGTACGATGATTGCCCTACCGCCCGACTCCGAATCGTTGCTCATTGACGTGGTAACTACTTAGCCGTTAGACCAGTCGATGCTGTTGGCGGAGAAATTGTTCTCCCCGTGTACTGCATGCATGACTAATTAGTGCGTCCAGACAAGATCTTAGCATTGAATGTGGAGAAAGAAGTCCTTGTGGTTGACGATGGTTTGCTTACTGGATAACTATGACCCAATCAGGTCCGGACCACATGGTTATCACCTTATCCGAAACGTTCGGCCTCGTCGAACTCAACGATCTGTCAGAATCCCGTCGAATGAGTCGCGACTCGGCATCTGGCGTCATTCCTCCTCACTGCTGTTGCGTACCCAGACATCCGCGTCCGAAGCTATCTCCCAGTTAAATCAGCGTGATTACCTTGCCCGTAAGCGCACTTGATAGGGCATACGAATCCAAACGTTTCCTGTCGTGACAGCGGGTCCTCCAATCTTGTAACTTGGCACATGAAGATTGTCTTCTTTCCATGTGCAACCCAAACTCCCCTTTACTGGCCCAGAAATAAACGGCCGGCGGAGCCTAATATACAAGCACAGCATCTAGCCCCGCAGTTTAGTAGCCCCCTGGCCCCACCTCAAACGGTGGGGCTGCAGAGTTGTAGCCAGACGGTCTACGGACTCGGAGGTCATACGAACGTTTCTGGTCGGGCTACAGTAAACGTCAGTTCAAGCGCCAAATCTGCAACTTCTCCCCTTCAGCCTTAGATCACTGTTTATATCCAGAATGTCATGCGAAGGCGCAGCCTCATGAATAACCACTGATCAACATTCAGTCCACGGGACTATGAGCATCACTCAGTACTGTGGGGCACGGTGTCACATTATTCTCCGACGACGGAGGCAGGTCCAGCCCAAGGATTTCTCATCATTTAGAGCCCTGAACGCAAATCCTCGCTTGCGGTCTTTTGCGTGTAATCACTTCGAACACGACAGACTAGCAAATGTGACGTGAACAGGGCCCAGCTACTTTGAAGTAACTTTTGGGAAGATAACTTCATTCCCAGAATTGTCAAACTTTCTGTAGTAGCCTTATGCTCTTTGGAGTCTAAAGCCTCGTTGATTATAGATCGAATTACTTCCAGGGGAAATTGTAAGTGGGGAATGCAGGAAAAGTGCCACAGTTATTGAAATAAGGACAAAGCGAATCTTTCGACGAGGGAAGTTAGGGTCGGTTGAGTCCTCCATTGAGTTTTTCTTCGAAGTGGGCTGTCGGATTACCAGGTGCATATCCAAACGAATTCGGATGCAATTTCTTGCATGTCCTCATCAGGACACAGTCAGGCCAAACGCAAGAACTGACTCAATCTACCTGCTTGGCAGCGGCCAGGACTCTGGCCTCAACGTGGCCCGATTGGATTACCACTTGTCGTTGAACAGGTGCTCGCAGAGGCGACTTGTTCATACCCACGGAAGACAGGTTCCGTAGATAAACCACGGTCTAATTATCTCGCCACTGCTCGCAAGAACCTAGACTACGTTCGGATGGGAATTTGATCTCTTTCCCCCTGCCCGTTACAAGATATTTTTCCCTCTGATCCATTTTCTGGTATTATACAAAGCTTTTGCGTCTATATCAGCCTACGAGGTTGGCAATTTATTAACGAATATAGTCGTCTTGAAGGAGACATGATCGCTGGGACAAGAGCTTTATTAGCCTGACATTTCGGACACTGGCGTTGGGAAAAGTATTCACCTGTGCTCCACTTAGGCGAAGTCTCAGCACCGCGTATGGAAGGGGAAGGTCATTGCACTCTTTAATGGACTGGGGCCAGTAAACCATGACTCAAGCAGCTCACGCGGTTGTCACCTCTTGCGAGAATTTTGGCCTCGTCGAACAGCCATCCCTACGCCAGGGTCGATGGGTCAGATGGTCGGGCAATCATCACACTAACATTCAATGCACGTGATGAAATTACAGCAATTAATGACGCGAATGTCGGTCATCAAACAGTCAGCACACCAAGTGCAACGATCCCTGATGAAGGGGAGAGCCGTGAGTATTCATAGGTATGCGGCAGCATGGCGACTGCATCCTATAAATACTGCAGACCCTTGTGCATGAACCACCCGTATCTGCTTGTCTCAGATGGTGGGTTCGAGCAGGAATCCAAAACATCAGGCTAATAAAGCTCTTGTTCCAGCGATCGTGTCTCCTTCTTCAAGACTGCTTCGTGGGACTCGTGTCTTCGCTTCTATTGGAATAAAGTCGTGTTTCTTGACCTGAAACTATGCATGAAAATGTGAAGGGAAGGTCAGTCCAGAGGACCAATTCACGTTTTTTTCAACATGCCTGCCAAGGATTCGAAGGGGGCCAGATGTACTTGGGTAATGCTTACTAATATGCAAAATTATAATCTTACGAGAAAACAGTGCAAATTTGTACTCCGTACTGCCTTCAAAGCTTCGGGTTATCTACTAACTGTAACAATTGTCATTGGGCCAAACCCTGAGGCACGTGAAGACTTGTGCAGCGGGGAAACACCCACAGAACTGCTGAGCCACTAAATTAACTTCGGATGTTCCAAATACTGAGCTTCTACAGGTATTCATTTCAACCGTTCGGTATTCACGAAATATTGCCTTCCAGTTCAAACAGCAGGTTGCTTAGAACTGCAAAACATGTTCACTCCGCTAGTCCGAAAGCAGGGAGTATCGACTAATTAGTACAGAGCTGGTAGGTATGGCTGCGGCGGTCAAATGCAGAGGCGAAGGATGGCTGCTCGATCCCTCTAGGAGACACGTTCCCTGACAATTTGCTTTTTTGATCATTTGACTCTGTGTAAATTCTCCCAGCTGTATTTCTAGATGCGAAGTGTCTTCGCTCGTTGTCTGGGGCGTCCAATGTGGCAAACGGAATGGTGTGAAGTCCGCCACGGAGAACGTCAAACAGTTGACGAATGCAAGAATCACACGATTCCTCAAGCTTCCTAAAGACTTGTAGCAGCCGCTCCAGCCCCCCTTTTCTCCGGCTCCGTTTTGTCGGTCGATGGCCGTGACAAGCAATGACAGGCCGCTGACACACGACCACCCACACCGGCTAGAACTGGGGCCCCTCCTGTCCAGCTGCAGTGACTCCCGGCTGCCCTCACAAACTAGTATCACCTAACGCGCGTCGAACGCTCTGGCTTGATTCCCCTGAGGCCTTGTGAGTATGCGTCCTCCATTCCTCCCCTACTTTGTCCAATCACACAACCAACACTCAGCCAGTCACCCCTCCTGCTGACCCAGACGCACACCCGCGTAAACAACACACACCGTGACTGACGCTCTCCGTGAACGGACGCTTTTCTCTGTTGCAAGCAAATCGCCAACTTTCGGCAACCTGCCCTGTGTACAGCTCCCTGATTTCTGACAGTAGACGAAACGAACTTATTGTGCGTGGTTTAAGTCGATCTCACATCCTTGACCGCCACAAATTGGTGACCCCGAATTTCCGAACACTGGAATTCCGCAAACTTTTCGTCCACAACAACAATCTTCCGGAGACCTACAGCGCGATGTCCCAAGACCAGAAGTCACTTATCAACCCAAATTCTCAAGGTGCTAACGTACGCTTGGATCGGCTAGAGGAGGTATTAATGCGCCTGAAAGCCCAGCTCACTGCAGTTACCAGTAACGGCCCGCGGCGAAAACCAAACCCTCGGCGTACTTCCTCCGTTTCCCACACCCGCCGTCCACAATCTCCAAGTAGCGTTTGCTGGTATCACCAACAATTTGGGGGAGCAGCTCGGCGATGTCTTCAGCCATGCTCTTTCAAGGCATCTCCAACGGCCTCAGGGAGACGAACACACCCGACAGTAGAGGCCACTGCTGCTGGAAGCGCTGCCAATCTTCACACTCGCCGTTTGTTTCTCTGGGACTGTATCGCTGGCGCCAAATTCCTTGTCGACTCTGGTGCCGAGGTTAGCGTGGTTCCACCAACTCCGGCCGAATGCAAACACCGCAGCTCTTTTTGTCTAACAGCTGCCAACAACTCCAGCATCCCCACCTTTGGACAGCGCTCCATCACACTCGATTTGGGCCTTCGTCGGATTTTCCGATGGGTTTTCATTATTGCCGACGTTTCCGTCGCCCTCATAGGCGCTGATTTCCTAGCCCACTTCAATCTACTAGTCGATTTGAGGAATCGCCGGCTCGTCGACTGCATCACCAACCTTCATACCCGTTGTCAATCCGGTGTGTATCCCTGCGTCAACCCTCTCACTGTTATACCCATTTCTGACTGTCCTTTCCACTCACTCCTCAGGCAGTTTCCCCGCCTGACCAACCCCTCATTTCGAGAAGTGGACATCAAGCACACAGTCACCCACCATATTTCCACCACCGGACCTCCCAAATCTTGCCGACCACGTCGTCTTGCTCCGGACCGTTTGAAAATTGCCAAGGCAGAGTTCGAACACATGCTCGAGCTCGGCATCATCCGACAGTCCGGCAGCTGCTGGGCATCACCCCTCCATCTTGTCCCAAAGAAGAGCGGCGACTGGCGACCGTGTGGTGACTATCGGGCGTTGAACTCTGTGACTGTCCCCGACCAGTATCCCGTTCCGCACATCCAAGACTTCACTATTTCGCTACATGGTAAGCGAATATTCTCTAAGATCGACCTTGTGCGTGCCTACCACCAAATCCCGATCGAGGCCAGTGATACTCCGAAAACTGCAGTGACCACTCCCTTTGGGTTATTCGAATTCACTCGTATGCCCTTTGGTCTGAGGAACGCCACTCAAACCTTTCAGCGATTCATTGATCAGGTTCTGCGAGGTCTCGACTTCGTCTACGCCTACATTGATGATTTGCTAGTGGCTAGTTCTGACGCTGCTGAACACGAGATTCATCTCCGACAGCTCTTCGAACGGCTCGACTCCTACGGCGTTATCATCAATGCCGCCAAATGTGAGTTTGGAGTCCCCAGTCTTATCTTCCTTGGTCACGAAGTGAACTCAGATGGGATAAAGCCCGTCCCGGAAAAACTTTCGGCCATATCAGCGTTCCCCGTCCCGACAACCATCAACCAACTACGCCGCTTCTTAGGGATGGTGAACTACTATCACCGTTTTCTTCCCCATGGGGCCACCATACTGCAGCCTCTCAACAGCCTGTTGACCCACTCCAAGAAGACACTGGTGATGACCGAGGAGGCCGTCAGGTCCTTCAATGACGTCAAGGCCGCACTTGCGAGCGCAACACTGCTTGCTCACCCCCGCTCAAATGCCCAGCTAACTCTCATGACAGATGCTTCCAGCATTGCAGTTGGTGCATCACTGCAGCAAACTGTTAGTGATGTTCTACAGCCTTTGGCTTTCTTCTCGAGGAAGCTCAGCCCAGCAGAGACCCGCTACAGTGTCTTCGGCCGCGAACTCCTTGCCGTCTATCTATCCATCCGGCACTTCCGCCATTTCCTCGAGGGTCGTGAATTTGTTGTTCTAACAGATCACAAGCCACTCGTTTTTGCACTGAGGGCCTCTCCCGATCGATACTCGCCCCGTGAAATTCGTCATCTAGACTTCATCTCACAGTTTTCCTGAGACATCCAACATGTCCACGGTAAGGAAAATGTGGTTGCTGATGCTCTTTCAAGAATCGAGATGGCTTCCATCACAACAGACGCCATAGACTTCACGCTCATGGCTGAGGCTCAACGATCGGATGGCGAACTCCCCCAATACCGCCACGAGGACTCTTCTTTACGCCTTCAAGATGTCCCCCTTCCCACTGGCACAGGCACCATCACGTGTGACCTTTCTACCGGACACGAACGTCCTTTTGTTCCAGCAACTTTACGACGACGAGTGTTCAACGCTCTTCACAATCTGTCCCACCCTGGGGTTCGGGCGACGGTGAAACTCATCACTGACCGATTCGTCTGGCCCAACATCAACCGGGATGTACGGCGTTGGACCCGATCCTGTCTACCATGTCAACGAGCCAAAACGCATCGGCATACTATTACTCCGCCAGGTACTTTCGCCACTCCTGATGCACGCTTCAGTCATGTGCACATTGACCTGGTAGGTCCGCTGCCACCATCTAGCGGTTCTATCTACATGCTGACATGCATTGATCGCTTTACTCGGTGGCCGGTTGCTGCGCCCATTCCGGGCATCAGTGCCGAAATCGTTGCAAAAGCTTTCCTGACTCATTGGGTGTCCAATTTTGGAGTTCCTGCGACTGTCACCACTGACCGCGGATCCCAATTCGAGTCCACGCTGTTTCGCGAACTCACATGCCTTCTCGGCACCAACCGAATCCGAACAACAGCGTACCACCCTCAAGCAAATGGTCTCGTCGAACGCTTCCATCGACAGCTTAAGACTTCCCTTATGGCCCAGCCCGATCCTTCCCGATGGTCTGATCACCTTCCCCTGGTGCTGTTGTCCCTCCGTTCCACTCTCAAGGCCGACATCGGTTGCACTGCTAGGTTAGGTTCTTTGCAAAAAACGGTGTAGAAGGGGCTCCACCATTAACGGAGAAATTTACCGTATATACGGCGCGAGCTCAGGTGCGAATGTTATAGTTTAGGTGAGGAAAGCTGAGCTAGGCATGTCAATGTTCGTTTTGCTTGATATTGACATCTAGATCACCATTTGTAGATAAATAATTCCAGGTAAATAGGGGCAACACACGGATTAGAACTCGAAACAAAGGATTATCTAATCCAAATACACCCATCACATAAACCAACTGGGGCCAACTTTTTGAAAAGAGTGTCCTTTTCTTCAGGTTTTAAGCAGCCTGAGTATAGTCATTAATATGAGCTCTCCGAATGGCCGTAAGCAATATCTTTACCTTCTTTCATGAGAAAATTGCCAGATTTGATTGTAAATGCTTATTTGAGTCGTACTTCGTTCTTCTCTGGTTTTCGATCTAATGATCTTATCTGCTACATGAAGGACCCTTCCAAAAGTAATTCTCGTCTTGATCTCTTGTCTTGACTCCTAGAACTAAATGGCAGTCATAAGTGGACGCAAATCGTAACCATAGAAGATGCTGGCTTCGTCAAATACTACTAATCACGGGTTCAGGTTGACTGTATCAACTATTTTTCCCAGTTCGCTGAAGAGTAGTGCCCGCCGCCTGTCCTGCTGATTACACTGCTGCGATGTGGTGGCCATGATGTTACCAACTGGGGGAAAGCGCTCGTTACAGAGGGGGAGGGGGGCATGCGCAGCGTTTTCGACTTGAAAAAACCTCGACTGACATATTTAGCGGACTTTTGAACGGAAACTCATGCAACTCCTTCAAAACTGGATACATAAGGTCCAAAGCTGACTGCCGGCTGATATGAGAAACTGAAAGTTTACACAGTTTTAAATAAAAGCGCAGCTAAGACACGTCCGAAGTTCTGTTGGGCAGGTAACGGGGACGCTAGTTTCATTATCTAATGCTGGGGCTTACGCGCAGTAAACTTGCGGAAAAGGCTCGAAGCCAACTTTTCAAATGGTTGTGCTTTGTTAAAGCTAGTTTTCGCGTGAGTTTGGTTCCCAATTTTAAAAGTGTATTTTGATTTTTCGACCAGCTGAACTTGAAGCAAACCAAGTATAAGTCGGTTACGAGCAGTGCGACATTTTGTGGACCAAATCCAGGGAAGTTATTAATTTTATTTGTGTAGTTTTACATCCGATTTTAACCAATTTGTAAAATTTGCTGACATTGTAACGTGCAGCTCTATGTGAGGTAAGCCAAATGACCTCAGTAGTCCCTATTAAATATGTAGGTTTCCGGAGGTTTTCACAAAATTCCCATATTCTACGAGCGCTTGATACCGCGCGAATACGTAGTTTTTAGCAGGCGGGGTAAGCAGGGCTTGTCACAATTCTTTCCTACATTATGGCCATCTTCTCTGAATGCGACGGCTCTAGCCCTAATCTGTCATGAAACAGGATCCCTAGAATGACATTCAGTCGTTGGGCCCAGTTGTTTATAACCTGCAAAATTAGAGGCAACCCTATGCGCCCCAGCGCAGCTGTCGTTTAAATGGGCCGGAGCGCGTGCACAACTTCCGCTAGTAATCTAGCGAGACGGAACACCTTGTGCACGATTTGATTATTATGCTGAGCAGAGAAGAGGCAACACCTGATTTGGCTTTTTCCTGTCCTCCGCCTCCCTACAAACCCAACGCTTCGCTCCCTATGACCGCCGCCGCCCTGCGCAGACGCGAGTCAACATTTCCCAGCCTTGAAATTGCCCAATCAGTTGCCTGCGTCCTTCGGCCGGAGCCAATCGTTCAGAAGGAAGAGTTGAACCAATAAGTGGGGTCTTGACTTTAAGTTCCTGCAGATCCAAGGCATTGGGAGAGGCGGGGTCCGCGCAAAACCTAGCTAAGTTTTAGGCTGAACTTATTGGCGTCAGGCTGAAGGCAGCAGGTGTCTGCACACTCGTGTTGCCCATTTTCTTCTCAACAGATGGCCCAACGTACTTCGCAAATTTCGACGGTTCAGCATTACCACCTTTTCCTTATTCTTAAGGTTCCTGCTGTTCGACCAAGGAATCTGAAAAGCTGGAGGCAGTTGAATCTGTGAAACCGGTATTTGAGGACTGAAGGCATGTACTGCCCTCTTGGGAATAATGGTTTGCATAGTACAAACTAGGCGGATGATCGCTTCCCACTTTGAAATGACAATCTGATTTCGTGAAATATGTTGCACTTTCGAATTCTAAGCCCCAACTTCTATCGTACGCCTTCTACAGACTATGTTTTCACTTAAGAACATAACGAGACCTCGTGAAACTCACGTTTGGAAAAACACATGATTCTCAAAAAGTTCGTGCATATATGTTATTCACTTAAATGCACCGCGAGAACAGAGTTAGTCGACGCCTCTTTCAGGAGCGGACGCGTGACTACTTGCGTTCCTCCTCACTGCCACGTGCGGGTTCATACGAAATCTGCCTGGGAGAAAAGACCGTCCTCAGACCAAGCCTGTTTTTTACACGCAGTCACTCTGGAATCAGGTCCACCACGGTAACAGAACCCAGAGAGGTATTCCGGTTTGTCCTGGAACCCTGGCCTAGGATGATCACAAGCAGCCAAACAGCCAACACGATTTGAGCTCAAATTTTAAGTATCCCTTGTCTGGTGTTTGGATCTTGCTGGCCGGTGACAGCAAGAAAGTCATACTTGCCTGTATTTCCAACACTGCCTCCCTCTGAAATACTAGTGAGGCACACCGAAAGCCCTTTAAAATGCATGTCCTCTTCTTAACCCACGATAACTTTAACTGGGTATAAGCTAAGTGGATGGGCCAATGATTACGGACACCACGGGGTTTGCCTTCCGTCGCTAAAATGCTGCTGATTGCACATCGGTCGTTTTTATGACTGTAGCGATCCGGTGAGCCGCCATCCACGCTAGAAATTGATTCCATGGGCCAGCGGTGCCAGACAGCCGACTGAATTAGTCCGAAATAATTAGGATTTCATAGTTGTTTCCTCATATTCTGTCAGCCCAGCGGAAACGCGAATTGTTCGAAATTATCTTTTTTAGGCTGTCTGTAGAGTTCTGGCAAAGATTAACGCCTTCGGAATTTTCGAAGTCACATGCGGAACACTACCTTTGCTCAGCTTTCGAATTTTCGCTATTTTAGGCATCTTGAAGTGATCATCACACTACCCATTGTGTAGGCTAACCAGCAGCCATTCCTGTCCACCGAATAGCAGTGCGGTGGAAAATCTCTCAAACGTCCTATTTTATAAATGAAAACAGAGGCCAGAAAAGTGGCATGACAAAGGCTACCAAATGTATTTTCCTGCAGACACCGTGTTTGACTACACTGCCTTTCAGGAATGCCGTGAAATAAATATTTTGTGTTAGAACTTTTTATCATGTTTTGCAACATTGAAGAACCTCTTGAAGTGTAAAAAAACGGAAGTTAATTACCCCCCACAAAGGTAATTGCGACGTAGACGCGGTAAACTGCAAAGTGATATATGCAACCAGGATCTGAGGACTAAGGTCTATTGCACGTTATTTTTTTCTATTTTGGAGATAAGCCCATTGGATCAGGCTCGTTAGGCTGAGTCGCATACCTCGAGCCCGAGGTTCGCAAATTCCAATGAGCAAAATACACTCCTGTGATGGCTCAGGAGACGAAAAAAATCAGCGTTCCACGCGTCCTGCTCGTCCTAAGTTCATGCACTTTTCTCGCCAGAAAAAGTTATTTAATTGCCGGCGATGATTCGCCGGTTCTGATCAAAAAGATTTTAATAGAGTTCACGAGTGCCTGCATTGGTGTTTCAGGTTTGACAGGCAACACGAAATTGCATACAGCAGCCTGCATCCGTCGCGCTGCCGAACGCCACTGGCTGGCGCGATAATGCCAACCAGAAATTTGCAGTCGAACAACCTATATTGCCTTGAGGGAGCGCGGTAATGGATAGATGAAAGGAAGCCCGAAATGGTTCATCCGGATGCTAAGCCAACGGATTTAACAGCAACAAGGCACGGCTGATGACAGGTGTGACTGTGTGGGTACGGGCATCGACCTCAAACCCCCCGAACTTTATTTTTCATAGCGAAACAAATTCAAACTCTTCAGAGACACATAACGAGTTTTTCAATATATCAGTAGGAACTGGTCGGACAAGAACACTTTTAAAGCTCAAAAGCTTGCTGGAGGATGGTCGTTCCTGTTTCCCTTCTGGAACTGACTTCGTAGAAACAACGACACAACAGGTAGGTACAACGTTGTTGGCAGTGGGGTATTGAGACACACTGTTGCCTATTGACCAACGTACGGCAAAAGTCCAAGAAACCGTTATAGACGTCTTACCTGCCAGAAACAGGCAACTTGGCCTTCTTGGATGTTCTCATCTACCGCGAAGATTGGGGTGGCCCTATGACTAATTTTTTCTGTAGGGTGGCAGATCCGACAAGGGTACAAAACTCCAGCGGCAAATGCCCAATCATCCGCGAACGCAGTTGTGCAAGCGTGCTATAGAGGCTTGTTGATACACACTACGGTAAACCGAGTGAAAAAATTGCTGGATTACAACATTTTCGACGGGTGTTCAGAGATGATGGCTGCCCGCGCAGCTCCGTTAACCGGTGCATACGTAAACGAGACCAGAGGCTAAATCGCACCGATTCCAACTTTTGGCTAAAGCTCCCGTATGTCAAGGATGTCTCGGAGGCTGTCAGCCGCCACCTTGCAGTAATCGGACTTGGAGTCTCACACAGACCGAAGTCAACCATCTGGCGCCGGGTAAAGAGACCGATAGGCGCACTGCCATAACAAAAAAACGTCTGGAGTCCTTCATGGGCTCTGGCGATGTTACGGGCAAAGCAACAACGTTGGAGAAACTGGAAAACTAATCTTGACCCGAGGAGCTGAACACGCAGCTCTACTGCTGAGTAACAGTGCCATTCGACGGGACTAGGTCGCAACTTCATGTTTGATGAAGCCACAATTCTCACAAAGGTTGACAGTCACATTAACTATGAACTACTCAAGTCAGGATTCTTCGACCACAATTCATCAACAGTCAAAATTGCCTCCCTCTTTATTCCCCGTGCTGTGACTTTACCTGTCAAGTCCACGAGTGAACTCTGCTTCCGCCGACGGCATCGTTCAGCCAAAATACAGAGCCAATACTATGTGAATAGTCAACGACTCGAATACGGCCGATCAAGCAATTATCGCAAGGAGTGCGAAAGTGTGCGATGAGTGCAGGAGCCACCAACTGCGATCGGTATTTAATGGCATAGTAACTGCATCTTGGAAATACTCTGTACCTTGTCTGGCCACCTTTCTTATCTCTCGTTGTCCTTATTAATGAATTAAAGTAGGATGTCGAGACGCCAGGCCAATAGAATTCTTGTCCCATTGATCTTTTTATTCGTAACTGCCCCCTTAAATCATTTTCTGCTTGCGTTCACATGAGATTTCCTTCTATCAGTATGTTTGTGCGTTAGAAAGGGGATGTGAGCGTAATACTGTGGACTGCTGACATTTTCTCGTTCGCATGAAGTGACCGACTGATCGCATTTGACCGACTGAGTAGCATTGGCAGAATTTATTTGGAACTGATTTTCATATGCTTCCGCTAGTATGATCAAGCAGTGGAACTCTGATCAGGCGACTGAATGTGGCTGCAATTTTTCTGGCATAACCGGTCCCAGTCTGCTCAGCTTTTGATCGCCTCCCCACCTGCTGTCTGGCCGGCGACCATCGACACCAACCTTGGTGGGGTTGTTGCTCGCGTCGGCTGAGATGAGGTGGCAGGTTGACTGAGCACTGATTCCATCCCATAGCGAGATAGGTACCACACGGCTGGAGCTGAGGTCGCTCTCCGTGATTTATCCCAGTATCTGCCCCTTCCTCCACACCTGTGTTGCGTATAATACGATGTTCCACTCCAGACCCCTTGCTGCGGGTCTCATCGTTCCTCTAGCCGATCCAGACTTGGCTTGCTCTGCTGGATTTGCGTGAAATATGGCCTCTAGCGTTTGGCCCGACAGTTTCAATGATTACTGAATTATGACTTCCGTATATGTCAAGGCTTCGTTAAGCCGAAAGGGGCGAGTAAGGTCAGTGCAACCTGTGCAACCATATGCAGATGAACGTTGGTACTGACGGGCTCTCCTTGCCTGAACGCCATGCTTGACCCAGTGGGGTCGGTTCACATAATGGGCTATATGTCTGTCTACCAGGCCCATACCCGCCCCTATCCCAGCCTCACGCCCAACGGCGCAAATAAACTGTTTGCGCGCACAACTTGGCAAAGACTCCAGTCGTTGTCGTGTTTTTAGTTTAGTTTGGCAAGGCCCTGGGTACTCTCATTGTTTGGTATCACCATCATCAGATTTTGAGAAAACAAAGGACCACAACCAATAAGACTGTCCCGGGTATATAACCTTGGAGAATTCCAAGTTAGACTGCAGTGACTCTTCACCGACCCATTTGCAGAAGCGGAAAACGCTCATCCTCTTCTGTTTTAGAATTTTAAACTAGCGGCCTTGTGTGAAGTGCCATTGAGAGAGGTTAACAATAAAACGGTCGTTTATAGATGATAGGTCCTCTCAGGATAGAGTATATAAAGGTAGCGGAAAAAAACTTTAAACAGGCGGCCACTTTCAGCCCCTTCTGATGATTCTTCCTTCCCCTTCGATTTAATGAATCAAGTTTGCACACACAGTCACATTCAGTATAAATAGCTCAATCCCAGATTATGTAGACTGGTCTTCTCGGTCCTGATGAAACCCCTGCTCGGGCAGTCACCTGAGAGAGGCCGAAAAAGGCAGAATTATCTCTGCCCCCCCAGCGGCTAGTCATTAATCGAGTTCAGACCGAAATACTGGACGCCGTAACTTGTGTGAAGGTCAAGGCCAGGCCAACCGAAGTCTGACAGCCTAAGCTTTTGAATTTACAAGAACCAAGGTCTGCCGACAGAAACCACTGTGTCGTTTTGCAGCCTGACTGTAGGCTCATTTTATTAATAAGTCCAAACCCTTTCTTAGTGGTTCGATGGTGTTCCGTGGAGGACTCTCGGCTGATGATGCGCGCAAGGAAAGAAAACAATGCTCCGACTTCTGCCGCGTCGGTATTCATGTATTTTCGAAGGATATTTGTCGTTATATCATATAGTCTTGCAACCCCTAGTGGCTCTTCGAATTGGTGAACCCATAAATAAAAACAGGAAAAATACCAATGTTGAATATTCCAACAGTCAATTTAGACATTTCAGAAAATCAAGTAACTGAAATTTTCGTATTAGCACAGAGGCATTGTGCATCATGCAAACTTCAAAAGGGCATGTTCAGTTTTACAGCAGTTAAAATGCGAGGGCGACCTCTTGTGTTCCAAAACCAATATCCCGTTAGAACCATATGTCGCGAGGGCTGCTAGCCTCTGTCTTCATTCCTTCGAAGTGGGCAGCAGGTACTCCGTAAACTAGCAATTTTAAGCACACCAGTCAAATTTGTTTAATATTGTTGTCAGAGGAGTGTTTATAAAACAGCCTGGCTAATTTGAAATAAGGCACAGTAACTTGTAATAGAAGGTAGCTAATTTCAGAAGTATTCCATATATTTTAGGGCCATGGGATCTTCGCTGCATCTCACTGATAAGTATTCCATCGTGGTCTAATAAATGCAAGTTCATAGAGTGAAGATGTACCTCTGGACGCCTATATGCAGGTGGATGGGCCGACTTCAGCCCCATCATTTGGCCTTGCCACTGGGCTGCTTGGTTTGGTAGGCAAACGTAGCAGGTTCCACTGTTTGTCCACCAAACGCTTCCTACCAGTGGATGCCCTTTCGCCCCCGCCAGGTATACAGACCGCGTGAACGGTTGCCTAGTGATTTGTGTCCTCCTCCTCCTCTTCCTCCTCCTCCTCCTCCTCCTCCTCCTCCTCATCCTCATCCTCATCCTCATCCTCATCCTCCTCTTTCTGATCCCTTTTTTGTCGGTCAAATTCTTGGTAGTGCTGTGGACCAAGGGGTGTGGTAGTACGCCTGGACTCGTGTCCTGCCGTGCCAGCCACCTGAGTTCTCTCCTGCCTCCGGTCTTCTCGACTGTGTCTTTCTACCAGGCTCAGGTGGGAAGGGGGAGGGAGTGCGGTAGATGCTGTGCAAGCCTAGGGATACTTGCGCTGGAGCGCACGGTGGACAACGTCGGCAACAACTGTCGAACTGTCATATCTGCGACTGTCTCTGATGAGGGGTTCGAGTGAGAATCCGAAAAGTCAAGCCAATAAATTTCTTGTTTCAGTGATCGCATCTTCGTCTTCTGCCATATGTGTGTCATCGATTTCGGCCCCACTATGCTCTGCCGGCAGTGTGTTTGCTAAAAAATGCTCAGAGGAGTCCTCGTCATTTAGTTTGGCAACCTGCTAACCTAAGTCTTGCCGTGTAATGCTTGGTACGAGTGCCCTCGTAGGATTCCTGAGTCACATAAGTCCCATAGAGGCAGCGGTGCCGGAAGGAGAAATGTCAGGAAGGATGTTTCCTTCGAGTTGACTTTGTGTATGGCACAAAATTATAGGAAATTTAGCGTCCAGGGATAGATGCAGATCGGTTAAATATGAAATAGTTAAGGCAGAAGCATTTGCCAGTAGGTAAGAGGAAAAATTATTTCCAAACGACTGATTTGTAGTCAGTTAGGAGTACCGTCGGTGAAAACAAAATTTTTTTCGAAAATTACGCGACTTTCATTACTTACCCGCTCATCACTGAAGAAATCAGAGTCCTATTTAAGACTGTTCATTCGTGCTGGTCCTGAAAATGCCTGTTTCGTCTTATTTCAGGGCCATAAATACACCGATATTACGAAAGTAGGGCAAAATCAGTGTAAAACAAAATGGGGTGGCGGATACCGATCGCAAATGATTTCGAACGCTCCAATCGGTCCTGAAGCTTAGGTGGGAAATAATGACGTTCAGTAACATGTACGAAATCATTCAGCGGAACGGCGGATTATTACCTCCTTCAGAACACTCCAGTTATGTCAAAAAAGTTCCCGGCGATGTTTTCCGGCTAGTTTACCGTTGATGTTAAAAAGCAGGATCCTACTGTCGCTATCACAGACTTACCGGTTTCCCATCTGCTTGTAGAACTCAACTATTTCTGCGTCCTTGCAGTCCTAAGGAACTTGCGCTCGGTGCCACATTCTCATGGAATAGCGATACATGATGGTGATTCATCAGCTGGAGTCCGCCGCACTTGTAGTCTTCGGACGAGATTACGTTGGATCCCAGTGATTTCCCTCTGGAGATTTGCTGCACGTCTCCGATTTTGTCTGGGGTGGAGGTGAAGGTCCGGCTCATCGTCCGTTTTCACAGGAGGCAGTCGGTCGATGACGGCGTCGGAGACCGTACATGGACGGTTGAGGGCGTTTCCGAAGTGCTCGGTCCGACGATTCAAAATCTGTCATCTATCCGTCAGAAATGATGTTTCATCGGAGTTGAGAATCGACGCGGTTTCATTGGCTGTGGGACCGTAGGCCACCCGGACTGGTCAGGGGGAGCCATTTGTTTAATCGCGGTTTAAATACCTTTGGATTTCCTCGACCTCATGAGTTACCTAGGCGTCCACAATCGCCCTCAGTTTCTACAGCGCGATCAGAAGAAGGCCGCCTTCTTTGCGATAGTTGGACAGCCAGAAGAGGCTCTATGCAGCCTGTTCTTCTCAGCGGACTGGTTGTTTATGTCTGTGCCGCTTTTATCGAACCGGTCCTGGTGTTGACAACGTTAGCGATCAAGAACATCCAGAGCGTCCGCATGGACGACGTCTCTCAGTTGGCACCACCGAGCCTCCATGGAGGCGTTTACATCTGCAGCTTGCAGGTCTTCCAGGGGCGGGGTGAGTGGATTGACGAAATGTAAGCGTTATCAAGCAACTTCAACAAAACAATGTTTAACTTAGCTGGTGGTCGCTTACCTCGTGGGCTCCTGCAGGATTGCAGACGTAGTCTCATATTCGATATTACGAGGCGGAAGTCCGTCCAGTTATTTGCATCGCAGATTACCCTGGCCACAAATACGTCCTGTTGATTTCGCTTCAGGACGAGAACGTAGTCCAGCAGCTGCCAGCACCGCGACCGGAAGTGCATTCAGGTTGTCTTCTTCCGCGTCGAAATGAGGAAGGTGTTGGTCAGGAGAAGGAGATGTTCTGTGGAGATTTGGGGGGGGGGGGAGAAGGTCGTTGTCGTTGCAGCCGATGATTCCATGAGGACACAACATTCCCCTCCAGACAGCGTAGTCCAACCCCACGCGGGCACTGAAGCCACCAAGGACAACCAGCTTGTCCGCCTTCGGCACAGATACCAGGAATGCGTGCAGCTCCTAGTAGAACTTGGTCTTCGTCTCGTCAGAGTTGGTCATCGGTGGGACGAAGGCGCTGATTATGATGGCAGATTTGACTCCCCGAGGGGGCAAGTGTAGACTAATCAGTCAGTCGCTGACATCCTACAGCAGACAGGACAGTCTTCCAGGGAACGACAAAAGTGACGCCTGCGTCACGTCCTTCTGCCTTGGAGCGGTCGCTTCAGAAGGAGGCGTATTTGGCACCCACATCCTCCAGTTGATCTAGTCGGGGGAATCGGGTCTTGTTAAGTGCAGCGATGTCCACCTAGTAACGCGCCAGTTCCCCGAGCGGCTACCGATGTCCTCCGTTGCCGTCGGTTGCCCCACGGAGTGCCTGAAATAGAACGAACATTCCAGCCGGACAGAATGAGCGGACTCACCTAGCAGTCTGTGGGCGGACGGGGTGGGGGGCAGGGGAAACAGAGAGGTTTTTGTTTCTTCTTTCGTTATTTCAAGCGCATGTATTGCAGTCTGTAAGCCACAGTCTACGTGCAGACGTCGTGTACCCGGAATATGTTCGGGTCACCTTTTATATCCCCTACCCTCTTGATTGAGTAAGCAGTGTTGTCCCTAAATAAGGCTGCCAAGCCATCCCAGACGGCTGCCGAACTCCGCTGTGTGTAATGATTTTGTTGCGTAAGAGCGATCCGAGTTAGCCTGGACGGCCTATGGGACTGCATGCCACTCTCTCGGTCGAATGTTTTTGAGATGGGAGTGAGGAGGAGGGAACGAAATGGAAGAAGGGAGGAAGAGGAAGTTGGGAAGGAAGGAAGTGTGTGATGGATAGGAATGGCGTGGTGACACACATGACGCCGGATACCCTCATCTGCACTAGCTCTCCTGTCGAGGCAGTTATTGGTGTGTGTCCGCCGCCAAACACCACTATGAGTCACGAATTGATTTAATGAACATGTACATTTGCGTTGCAGCTCAGGTCACTACGTGATAGATGCAAGAAGTATGCGTTCTTAATATGTAGAGCAGGCCTAAAAAGTCACCGACATCTGTTATTTCCGACGTCGTCGCTTAAGCGTGGCCAACCAAAGTTTTTCAGATTAAAAGTCAGGTAGACATAACCGGCAGTTTAGATTTTATTGCTCAAGGGACGTACAGGTGGCGCATTGACAACGAAAGCCCCACCACGCCACGCGCCAGTCGTTGACTTGCCGGCGCTGTATGGGTGTACGCCTTAGATATGGCCGGCTGCGGCCAACCGGTGAAGGCCAAAATATCGATCGGCGTGGCGGCTTCGCTAAGCTGAAAGGTTGAGTCACGTACGGCGCAGGCATTCAACTAGCAAAATGGTTCGCTTGCCGTTGCCAAGCCGCATAGACTGCCACAGTGCCTCCCGGTCAGGTGTCAATGGACGGATGTGGTCTCGGACAAGATGATCAGTCAAACGGTCTGAAAAGTGTATTCAACGACCGTTGTTAGTGTTGGAAATGTGGTTGGTGCTGGGAAGGTTGTATTCAGCGCGAAAGAAGTTGAGGGTGGAATGAGAGAGAGAGAGAGAGAGAGAGAGAGAGAGAGAGAGAGAGGAAGTTGCTCTAATTTGAAATCATAAATTCACAATTTTCAACAAACAAGTGGCTCCATTCACTATAGGCAGTAAATAAGTCAATGAGAGGGTATTGAGGTAGATTCTTACTGGGGACATTCGGGACTGTGCCTGGGATGACAGCTTTGGGACACTGCACTCGCAGAACCTCTTTGCGAGTACTGCGTTGGAACCGAACCGTCCTAATCTCTAGGTAGACGACCTTACATTTGTCGTCGTAAGGCGGTTCTAATGGTTGATTTATTTTGCCGTATTAAAGGAAGAAGTGAGTGCAGAATAATATTGCCGACAAGGACTGGGGGTACTTCAACGACCATTTTTGGGTTATTGGCTCTCGTCACCCAGACATGCTCAACCCCAGGTTTTATTGCAAGTCCCGCGGCGTCGGGTTTCTAGCTAACAGGTCGCAATATCGAGCCTCAGGGTTTTACAAAAAGACCTGGAGTTCGGTATGGCTGCTTAATGATGGTTAACAAGCTGAAATTAGCCATTCTCGTTTTCCGTATCTTGGTCGCCAGCGCTGTTTTGCCTATACTACTAGTCGCTATGCGGTTGCTGGCGGGGCTCGAGCTAGAGGCCTGAGACGCAAATCGGGGTGAGTGTATCTCGTAATCGTATCTCGTGATCCGTATCTCGTGATCCGTAAACGCCCTTCTACAATTATATATGCATATATATGAGGAGAGGAGGCGATCTCGGGCACCGTAATTTTACTGTTCTGACATTTCAAAACCAAACAAACTTCCATCGTCGGAGGTCGTTAAGCTATGAAGTCAGAGCGGCAGGGAGGAAGGGGTGGAAATGGTGTCCTTGAGCGTCTTCCCTCCGGATGAGAGAGTGGTGTTTTAACTTTAGTGGTCATCATCCGCATGTGCACAGGGGCCGTAGCGGACGGGGGAAGGGAAGGGGGGTGACGAAATGTTTTAGTCTACGTGCCTCTCGTAGGGAGCCGGCGTTGGAACGTTGGCGGTCGTCGTCCGTACCCCCATTGACCTTAGTTGTCGTCCTAGGCTGGCAATCTTGTTTACGTTCTCACGGCTGTCGACTTTCTCGTCTGCCGTATTAGTGAATGAGAAGGCTGTAGTGGCGACTATGCCTTCGTCAGATACGTGTTCAGGTGCGACTAAGTGCTTGTCCGACATGGACTCGTTCGGGTTTGGATTCATATTTGGCCTGGGCTCGCTTTTGCTATTTTGTTCATTGAGCTGCGTCCGGACGGCTTGGTAGGCCGCCTGAAACGTTGCACAATGGTTGATGGGGAATGCCCTTATATGCTAGGCCTCGACTATCTCTCTGGCTAAGCGGTCGTTTCCTCGACACAGAATTTCGGCATTTTAGAAGGCGAACGGGTGTCCGTAGTCAGTGCAGTGTTTCGCGTTGAGAGACAAGTTCATGGACCGAAACATAATTGAACTGCGTAAAACCCTATTTCGTAGCCGCACCTGTTAAAGGTTAGGGTTAGCGTCAGGAGTTAGGGGTCAGGGTTAGGGCTTAGTGTTAGGAATTATGGTTAGGGGTTAGTGTTAGGAGTTATGGTTAGGGGTTAGTGTTAAACCTCCTCTTACCACCGGTCTCCTATGGCAGGCGGCTGGGGGTTATCTACTGCAGGTGCGGCTGCGAAATAAGATCCGACCTTGAACTGACGCTTCGGAAACTGTCTCGTCTCCATCATCAGATTATTGATGTTCGTTCCTGCTGGCCTGGATTTATTCAACCTTGCCGCGTGCTTCGTATTATAACCGTTTTCGACCTACGAACTTTGACCCGCTTGTTTGCTGTCGATCTGCGTCGGTATCTCCTAGATAGACCCACATGCCGTTTGTCCTTTTTGTGGCCGTTGCGGTTGTTGACACGTCAGCGGGCATCTTGGCCAGCAACTTGTCAACTAGCGGGCTGATCAGCCGTCGCGGCTCGTGTGATTTGATTTCGGCCTCGTCGGAGCGTCGGTGAGTCAGTGTTCCGTGCTGGTCACGTGACCTTGGGCCGTCTCCTCTCCCTTTACCGCGGGCATCCGTTAAGGGCCACGCGTAACTTTTCTCTACTGGCCCACTGACGTTGTCAAAACCAACTACAGCCTTGCACGTAGCGCCTGGTAGGTGGGCTGCAGGTCTACGGCTTAGTAAAGTGTTCCAGTCCAGCCATCTTATCATTGGCCCGAACAATTACCCTCTGTTTCTCAAAGGCGAAACTGTGGTTCTTCTGTTATACGTGGCCATAAACCACAGACAGCTTGCTCTTGCGACCGAGTACAAACTGATGTTCATGCAATCCTGTGCCAAAGTGTTCTCCCGCTTCACTGACGTAAGTCGCATCACAGCGTTGGTTTAGTATGCTCTAGACCGCTGCTCATTGTTCTGTCGCCGTTAGCGGGTCTTTCGGCCTCATTATTTGCTGTCTGATTGCCGATCGGAGTTTATGAGATGCACCACTCCAGAAAGGTCGCAGGACTCTTGTAGTCGCCTCTGAAACGCTCTTCGCATGAGGGATGGCGAGCCATAACTTCGGTCTTTCTCCAATCAGCCGCTCAAAGCGGAGCATCCAAAGACATTTGCATATGAAGGGCTTCGACTAACACTTGGCTCCAAATATGGCGTGCAAAAAAATTAATCTCCCTTTTCCTCCCACTATTGTGGCTGCGGTGTTTTTAAACGCTTTGGAGAATGATTCTGGCACAACTGCATTTGTAACCAACAGAGTGGTTGTTTCTAACGTGGAGGATGCCCCTTCTGTTTATTGCCTTACAGCAGACGGTTGTCCTTATCTTCCAGTCTGTCAGCTCAGTCAGTTGTGCGTCTTCCGCCGTAGTATACTGGATTAAGGTAAGGATAGAATTCAGTATGTGGTGTGCGTGTCCTCCCCAACCGCAAAGAGAGTACGGTTGACTCAGAGACAGTCCACGGTTATTGTAAAAGGGGATCACGAGCAAGCCTCCGTCCCAGCTTCCCCCCATACCGTGGAACACACAGTGGACATCGTCGGTCACGATGATCGAAGTGTCGTGTGAGTGTTGGATGTAGGGGTGCCCGTGCATCAGTGGGAAGTCACACCATGCGAATGG